AGCAAAGCGGCAGGCACTCAAACGTTCGGAGGAAAAAAAAAAGGTGACATGGACACGTTCAATGTCTGTTTGCCTTTTAGGTCGTAAAAATAAAAAAAAAATAAAAAAAACATCGATCCCAAGAAAAGAAAAAAGGGGGTCCCGCCTCGGTCCGAATCTGGTATAGGGCAGCACGGAAAGGTGCAGCCAGGCGCAGAGTCGCTATGCTGCAAGCTACCTACATGTAGGTAGGTAGTGTAGGTATCGCCTACACTATTTCTGGGTCTTCCGAATACCCTTAACGGCAAACGGGGTACATGTAGCGGCGCATGTAATGTATATGTATGTAGGCAAGGTAGGTAGCGTCAGGGTTGCGTCGCTATCGAGACGCCCACGAGGCCCCATCGTGATGATTTATGCTCAGATGACCCAAGATTCCCAGCTGTGCCGCTGCTGCGACTGCAGGATGTACGATAGCAGATCTTGCTACCTACGACGCTTAAATGTCAGGCTAATCATTTTTTTTTCTTTTCCTTCTTTGGTTCAAAAGCGGTCAGGCGTGCAAGTCAAGGGGGAAAAGAAGAGAGAGCTAACCGGGTCTGGGCTTCGATGAAGAAAAAAAAAAGGAAAAAAGAAAAAAGCAAACTGACCCAATCCAATCCAAACTATAGAATGACTGCAGATGAAGGACCAGGCTATAACTGTAGTAGTGTAGTATATTCAAAGAATGGAACGCTACGATAAGCCCAAGTCTGGGAGTAGCGGTCGGATTTGACGGCATGGGGATTGGCTTCGCCTCTGTTCCTCGCCGTAGGTATTGTACCTTACCTTAGGTAGTCTAGGGAGGTAGGGATGTCGTAAAGCAGAGTAAAAATAGAGTATCCCGATATAGAGAGAGGGTAACTAATAGAGGGATAGAGAACCCCGGCCTTATCCATGTAACAAAAAAACCCCATCAGAGAGGCTCTGCGGAGAAAAACTTGCCAGGTAGTGAAATAAACCCAGTAGGCCGGAAACGTTTTTGAGGGACGGGACGCGCGGACAGGGGAAGAAAGGGAAACGGCTCGGTGCGTCATCAGGACCAGAGTGACGGCCGAGTTTGCCGGGTCACGTCAATGTTCGAGCACGACCCCCTTACAACATACATAGACGGATACCTGGATAATACCTACACATACATACTGTAGGTAAGACTACACGTCTACCCAAGATACACCCATCCATCCATCCATCCATCCATCCGCATTACCAAGGTTTACTTACTATAGCAATACGAAGTTCCCGGTTATAGAAGACCCTATATTCGCTGAATATTGCTCTTTCCACGGGCCGGTGCTCAGTCATCTACGAGGCCCCTTCCATGGATGGATGGGAGGCGGGAACGTCTAGACCGTAAGGGGAAGAAAATAAATTGTAAGGTTCTTTGTCAGGGCCTCTGCAGCGGACCCTTTTCGGGTTTCTGGAATCCAAATCGGGCTTCGTTTCTTGTTGCTCGCGTGAGGGAGGTTACCTACTAAGTAGGTAGGTAGGTAGGTAGCCAGCCCATGCGTGAGGTAAGCTGATACCAATTGAGTCACTAACTAAGCTTTTGCTGCAGATTATATTCGAGATCTTTCTTTTTCTTTTTTTTCTTTCCCAATTTCTTTTTATTGTAATCTGTCAACTTTGGGTACATCGCCTACTTACCGACGTTTGTTGATATAATCAATCATCCATCACGTCTTACGATGACGAGAAATCGATACGCTGGACAAATGAAAAAGAAGCGTCGCTTGCTCGCTTGCTCTTCTACATGAAAATGTATAGGTGCTATACATAAAGGGGAAGCCGGGAAGGATGTATCCAGAGTTCACTCCTGCAGGGCTGGCTCGTCATCGTAAGTACCGATACCAGATGCTACCTCGAGTACCAGACAAGTTGAACATTGCTGATTATTTTACCTACCTACCTACCTACCTAGTTAAAAAAAAAATCCCCATGCTGGCGATCATCAATGTTTGGACCCCTCCCCCCCTCCCTCTCCCCTCACCAGGTAAAGAGAGACATGCCTGCAGTGAATGGCGCATGGGGTCTCGCCTTGCTGGGTCGGTACGGAATGGGCTAGGAACCAAGGAAAATGACCTGTCAAGTTCGTTCTCCGCTGCCCTTCTTCGGCGCCCCTGCCTTTGCTGACTGGGCATTTTTGAGGCTGACTGACTGAACTGACCTTGGGGCATACCTTGGGTGAGTGCGAAGGTGAAGGTTCTCAAGCCGCCAGCCTCGTGGATCTTTATTTTTATTATTTTTATTATTATTATTCTCATCCTCTTCTTTTCTGGGCTCAACAGCCTAGCCTGGCTTCACCTCCTCCTCCTCCTCCTCCTCCTCCTCCTCCTTTCTTCGCGCACTCCCCCCATATCGCCTGCAGAACCGGGTGACCGTACCCCCGTCACAATCTCCTCTACCACCGGCACGACCCTCGGCGCCAATATATGGTTGCCATTTACTTGTGATGAAGATGGGTAGCCGCCTTCCATGAGACTTTTTTTCTCTCCCAAGCTTTTCTCTCTCTCTCTCTCTCTCTCTCCACCCGCACGATAAAAAGCGGAGGGCCCTCCGGGAGGAGCCAATGGTGATTGATCAGGTAGCACAAGAAAAAAAAAACCAATGTGCCCATTGCAACACTGGGCGCGAGGTTATTGTCGGTGAGGGTTGGGCCGGTGGTCTTACCTTTTTTTTCTCTTCTTCTCTTGGTCTGTCTGTCTGTCTGTCTTCCTTCCTCCCCTATGCCTGCCCCCGTGAGGTTACTTGTTCGTCGACGCGGATAACACGTCAAGAAAGCAGCAGCAGGCAGAGAGGATGTGTGTATGTATGCAGGCAGCTAAAGGGCGCGTGGGTTGAAGGCTGGCTGCTTACTTCCGGTTGTGGTTTTTTTTTTTTTTTTTTTGGTCAACCCATCCTTTTCGCGTGCCTAACCCCCTACTATCTATCTATGCGCGCCGATCCCATTGAGCGAATGGCTGCGCACAGAGCAGAAGGCCCGTCCAGCCGAAAGATCGACAACAATAAAAAAAAAAGGGCACATCAAATAAGGTATTACGACATGGTTCACTGCCTAGGGTCGGTAAGTAAGGTAAGGCTGGTACTGTAGGTAGGTCAATGTTATCAATTTTTTTTTCTTGGGTCGTGTCGGTTTTTTTTTTCAGGGGCTAACTACATACACTCAACTTTTTTTGGCTTCACGATAATATAATCAACAAGGAGGGGGGAAGGAGGGGAAGAGAAGAGAAAAGACAAAGAGGAGAAAAAGAAATTACCTAGGGAGAGAGCAAAACCCGACCATTTGGATAGGTGCTATAATATGGCTAACCACCAAAACGGGCCTTCTGGTGGTTTGCATTTGGCTCGGCCCTATGCAAATGGGATAAAGACCACTAGAGGTAAAGTAAGGCCTGTGTGTTTTTTCTACACTACACTACCCTAAGCTTGGTACAATACTTCAACAAGAGCCAGTGCTTTAGGGGTAGGCAGTAGGCAGAAGGCCTGTATTGATGGCACTAGGTAATAAGGTAGGTAAGGTATTTGCCCAATGCCCACAAGGGAGCGCGCGCGGATGGGCGGTCAAATGTGACAGGTCATTTTTCTTTTTTGGTAATATACACAGTTTTGTACTGGATTTACATACAATACTGCCAGCCAGCCCGAAAGGACAAGCCTGTTCGGGCTAGTTCAAGTATCCGAGCGAAAGAATACATATCTACCTACATATGTATGTATATACACAGCGCGCTCCCCCCCCCCCCCCCCCCCCCCCATCTTTCGGTTGCGGTACGATTACGACCCAAGAAATGCCAAATCCCATCTGTGACTTTTAAGCTTATACTCGCTTCCCTCTCGTCACGCATGAAGGTGGAGAGGCGGTAGGTGTGCGTACCTAGGTATGTATGTGTGTATGGGTGTGTGAGGGTGTGTGTGTGTGTGTGTTCCTACATATTAGTTTCAGCCTCTCTAGAAAATTAGTTGCCTATCTAGCCGTATACATGTTGAAGAAGGCGGCGCAGTGCATGCGCTTTTGGGAATATACGTAGACAGGTTTTTAGGTAGCGTAGTGTATGTTTAGCTGTTTGCAAGAAAATAAATGATGGCTGCAGGACATTGGGTTGTACAAAGATCCTAGGACAGCTGACAACATGGGAAAGGACGCCGTGAGAGTCGGACAAGGCAATGATGATGAAAAATCTCGAGGCAAACGCCACCGTCGACATCCTTTTTTTTTTTTTTTCTGCAAGGTCTGTGGTCTGTGGGCTGGATGAAACATCTATGGCCTGTCCCAACGTGTTCCCTTGCAGGTGTGGCGAGGATGACTGCTTCGCTGGCGGGACCTATGAGCATGCTGGGAAAGGGCTGGGTGTCAGATCAGGCTCAGCACCAACCTGCATTGACAGGTCTGTGGGGTAAATGCGCCATGTCGAATACTGAAGTGCATTGTATCCTTTCGGCTACCCGCTGTCCTTTGACTTCAATGTTGTTTTTAGAGCTCAATACATATACACCTACAATATCTACTACATGCTATATAATATAGAGAGTAGACACTAGACAGTACTAGCTAGGTATTGGGTCAGCGATCAAAGCTATGACATGTATCGAATAGAGAGGCATCTAATATACTGCGTCCACGTTCAACAAACCTGTCTTAGTTTGCGTGCGTGACAAGAGTTTGTACGTTACCAGGGGGGTGTCTAGGTAGATAAGATGATCTACTGCCGCCGCTAGTGTCTCGCTGTCAAGAAGACCTAGCGTCGACGATGTAGGTAATATGTAGATAAGTATGCATATTGTGGATAGGCAGGCAACTAAGTTATTAGGGATGTTTGGAATTGCTCAATCAACATGGAACTTCATGATGCTAAGGTATGAAGCCGCGTCATTATCGACATGGCGATAAGATCCAGCCTTGAAAGGTTGGACGACTGAAAGGGGTAAAAGCCAAGAATAGATACGGTACGTAGGGCATGTATGTATGTATGTATTGTATGTATGTACACACAACCCCCCCTGACAGCCCAATGGTTCCGAGGGCGTGGATAGGGGTCCAATTTTATTCACGTGTAGTCGGGGGATCTACCTTGGGATGCTGGGTTAGTGACGAAGACTTCTCACTCGCTGGAAGCTTTCTAGAAGAGGAAACCGAATTCGAAGGAGCTTGCTTGGGTTTCTCGGCTTAATGCACGACCGCCTCGTCCAATGGTAGTCCGTTGCTGGGCCGGCTCGATGCAAATCGAGAATAAGCTGCTGCCGAACATTGATGACACACACACAAGCATTCAAGCACACCAGCAGCACACAGCACACAGTCTTTCTCTCTATCTCTCACACTCCTCACTTTCTCACTCTTATCCCCTCCCCCAAAAAAGCACCAAGATGCGTTACACTCTGCCGTCGTATCGCTTAAGCTTCAAAATCCGGGAGGACCTTCCAACCACACGAAGCCCTTAAATTCTGCACAAGTAAATGAAATAAAATCCTACGACACGACACGGAAGCACAATTTGCTGATTGAACGTTGATTAAATCGAAGCAGCACATGATGAGGGCCAATGCAGTGACCAGTGCAGTTGAACCTTGGAACACAGGGGATTGGCGGCAAGTGACGATGCACAATCCGAATGAAATGGCCAAGAAGAAGAGAACCACGACCCCCATGTAAATTTGGGGGATCATGAAGGTCTATAATTTGTCGTACGATGTGTACGAAGTGGAGATGGAGGAGAGAGGATGGATAGTAGTAATAGAAGTAGTAGTAGCATGTATGTAGGCAAGTCGATCTTTCTCGGAGAGACTCGAAAAGCAAGCTACTTTCCTAATATTCCATGAATCCATGGTGCCTTAGCCAGCAGCCTAGATAGTTCGTACATACCACTACTACATAGGACCTAACCGTTACCATGTAGGTAGGTACTAGGTAGCTCCAAACCTTTGGAACGGGTACTATCAACTGGATTCACATGAACGCGGCAAGTGGAGCTGTATGTTATTTTTCTTTCCTTTTTCATTTTGATCTAACCAAGCAAGTCGAATGGCATGGCATAAGTGTCAAGCCTAGTCGTTGACCTTGGAATCCCATGCTAGAGAGGAGGCGCTTCAGAATGCCATTCCTAGCCGTGGAGCAAAGAAGACGAAGAATTGGCGATAAGACAAATGCCATGCACCTAGTAATGTACATCGGTGGGTGGGATACAGAACGTTGCTAGGTAATGTACCAATTATTGTCATGCAACTGCGCCATGCAGGGCATCACAGCTATGCATGTATTGTACAATACATACAGTATGAGACAGACTACCTACTAAGATAATCCTCTGATCTGTTATAGCTTGACGGCATTTACATACTGACCTTAGCTTGCCTGCCTGCCTGGTGCGAGGTTACGGTAGGATGCGCCGTTCATGTGGATAGACTTCCAAGTACTTACCTAGGTATGGTACATTGGTACTAATGGATCAATTCAAAGTCTAGCTTCAATAAGAATCGTGAGGCGTAGGTAAGTATGTAGTATAGTATGTATTGTACAACGCAACGCAACAGCGCCGTCGTTTTGCCATACTCGCGCTGGATGGTGCAAACATGTGTTTCTGCAAGGCCTTCCCCAGACGATGAATCTGACATAGATTACGTCCTTCGGACCGCTAATACCAGATGAGAAGCCCATCAATGCGTAAAACAACAAGTACTCATTGTATGTGGAACAGCTAATAGAGAAGATGGAAATGAAGGGGAGGGGTCAGTGATTCGTCATCCCCATCGGCGCATTTCTACCATTTCTACCATTTCTACCCAACCGTTTTTTCAAACTTGGTTCTACTTTGAATTAATTTGATTAATTTCGATCGCTTGCTCGATTGATTGATCGATCAAACATCTCTTTTTTCCAATGACCGAGGCGATCAATCGCTCAAACCAGCACAACAAGCAGCAGACAAGTAAACAGGTAATCGATGAACAGAGAATACTTACCTATTCGGGGAATGCACGTGGAGGCAGGACTTGAGCCTAAGGTGAGCCTTAGACGAAGCCAATGCACAATACGGATCGCATCACACCCAAACGGTACATTTCTGACAAGGGTGCTCGAGCTTTCCAAATTCCATTAATAGAACAAGACGGTACATATGGCTACTAGGGAGGTAGGCATGTAAATGTAAGCTTACAGGGAAGAATAGGCGGAATATTTCCTTTCGACGCCAACAAATTAAATCCCGTCCAGCTGATTTGCTATATGGGACCTAACATATATGAGGCAGACGGCTTTTTGCAAGCTTCACACTGTGAACCTCTACCTACCTAATGATCGATATGCACTTGGAGAGAGAGAGAGAGAGAAACGTAAGAAATGAAAAAGAGGGGAAATCAAGTAACAACAGAGAAGAGCTAGAAAGAAAGAGTGAGAGAGAGAGAGAGAGAGATGCCGGTTGCGCTGTGGGGATTACGGTACTTGTTGAATGCAATACACATACATATGTTGAACACAAGACGCTAGACGATGCCGGGAATCCGTCTTGAACAAATCAGACTCTGTTGTTGCCAAAAAAAAAAAATCTAGAAAGGGGATTCCGTTCGTTCGTTTGTTCGTCCTTAGCGAGTAAGGCTGCAACGGCCAATCTCAAAATGGTGACCTACGCAAAGTTGCAGTAGTTGACATATTTGCCTTTACCTTTGGGCTGTGTGTGATACAAAGTGTCAAGTGTCAAAGCAGAGATCAGCATAAACTCTCCATCTGCTCGGTTCGATAGTTGAACGGTCAAGCCCGTCCCGAAGGCGTTGTTCCCGCTTTCTCGCATCCGATAGGCTGGTGGGGGGTTTGGTCTGGACATACATAATCATACATGCCTACATCCAATGCTAGGTACATGATACTATAGTATGTATGTATGCGCAGGTGTACAGTATAGCGTATGTAATGGCTATGTATATGTATGGCAAGTCATGTCACGATGGCATCGCCATTGTAGCTCGACTCTAGCGCTGAATTATCGATACTCGTGGTTATATACTGGCCATGTGAATGGCGGACCCCCATGCCCGGCAAATACAAAGGGGCCATACAGACAAAATAGCTATGTAATCAGGACAAATTTCGATATTAAGATAGTTACATACATGCAGGTCTGACGAAATGCATACTCGACTTTTCGACCGCCTCATACTTAATTGGCAAAAAACCCCAAAAGAAAAAAAAGTTAGTTGCATACTGCCGGCCTCGCCCTTATTCTTTTCTAATCTGGCATGATTCAATTATTTTTCGGTGCGGTTTCAGCGCATACCAGGCCGACTGCCTCTTCGGGCAACTATCAAATGATCACCATGCCTTGGTTGGTCGATGGGGGCTGAAAAATGTTCGATTACTGTAGATAGACGATCCCGGGATGTGATCCGTCGCCCGTTCGCGGGACCCGTCTCATGGTTGTTGCCGTTGTCGTACCCGTGGTCACACTCGTCGACCGATGGAGAAATCACACATAGAATAAAAAAAGAAACACATGGAATACATATGTAGAAGAGAAAAAAAAGAACGTTGCCGGGGATCAAGAGGTTTCCCCCTCCCTTCGGGATACAGATGGAGAGAAAGAGAGAGCACGCGCGCCTTCTTCTTCCAATGCTCTGGCTCGTGGCGTCGATCAAAGTGAACGGCGATAGATAATAAAAAGTACAATAAAAAAAACGCCAACAACAAGAAAAAGTAAAAAAAAAAAAAACAACGAACAACGTGAACATGAGGGGAAGGGGGGGGAGGGGGGCTAAAACTGTGACGTGCGACAGGGTTACCTAGGCTTTACCAGTAAGAAAAGGAGGGAAAATCTGGTGGAGGGGCTGATCGTGAGGCTCACCAGCCAGTCAGCTACAAAACTGCCGCGGGGGAGGATCAGCTCCTTGACAACTGGCTCTCGCTGCAAGCCCGGGCCGTTTTCTTTCTGTTCTATCGCTGCGAGCGCAACAAGCTGTAACCGTAATAAACCATGCAAGCACGCACGCACGCACGCACGCATGCACGCACATATCATATGGTGCAGTAAGTAGATAGTTACCTACCTACATTAACACAGCATTTCGTCGATCTAGCCTCTGGATGTAGCCGGTAGCCTATACGTCGTCCTTCTCTTTCTCGTTCTCTCTCTCTCCACAGCCCGAGTATCGCCGGACGAATCTCATGGTAGGCTTTTTTTTTCTTTGGACTACCCTATTGTTTTTTGTTCTTCGTGGTATTGGGGAGGGAGGGAGGGGAGAGAAGAAGAAAAAAAAAACCAATCAGTCGAGGTTCTGGAATGGGCCCTGGTTACGTCCTCAATCTCCAGCTGCATCCCCGGGGCTGCAATCCTAGGATGCCGCACGTAACGACGAAAGGGAAGGGAAGGGCGAGGGAGTAACAACGACAACGAAAAAAAAAAACCAAATGAATCCTCCCCGAAGGATACTATGTAGGTATGTACATATCTCTGATCTTCCCCCCCTCGTCGCCTTCTGTGGCGTGTGCCGTTGTGCATACCATCGAAGGCCGAAGTACGCGTGCGCGCACCCACCTTTGCTGCTACAACATCACGACAGGTTTATACGTTTATACTGAGGGGAAGCAATGCCTGGCAAGAAAAAAAATATACATACTTACAGGTATGTATGTATGCGCAGGTTTGTGTGGATGAGGTTTCGACATTCTGAGCTTAGTATGTACGTGTCGAGCTAGCCTCGCAGATCCCCACATCCAATATCATATTTCGTATACTGTATCGATGTAGGTACCTACATATAGAGATATACCAGGTAAGGTAAGTATATGTAGGTCAGGTAGGAATGTTTACATTGTATATGTACGTATGTACGCATGTATGTAAGTCTATATGTAGGTAAGCTTCGCGTGGGAAGGATTTTCGAAGATAAGAGCACCATAGTCAGGTAGGTAGGAACGAAAAGCACCAAACTATAGCCCATTGGTAAGGAAAAGGGGACGATCAAAGATTGTATGTATGTAAGTGATCAGTCAAAAACGCCATCTTGAAACCGAACTCGAACGTAAGATGGATGACGATGCTAGTCCGATAACAAGTCCGGGGAAATCCCCATTGCTACCAAAGGCAAAGGGAAAGCACGCGACATTGGCGGCTCGCTACGCCAAACGACGTGCGCGGGGGTCTATTCCGAAAGGCAATCCGCTGCAGTAGTGTGACGGTGCAGAGCGAGGAAAGGGAAAAATGGAATGGTGTTGTGTTGTGGTGTGTGTGTGTGTGTGTGGCCGTAGACAGAGTAAAATTGGATGGGAGTTGCATGAAGCTTTTGGGGGCCCTGGAAAAATAATAGTTCGCCCGCCGCCTTCTCGATGCCAAATTATCGATGGCAAGAGGATTTCGATGTATGTAGGTAGGTAGTATTTGCGGTTTACTATACCCTATTACCTAGGTTAGGCACAACTAATGTATTGTACGATATTGTACGATACTTCTTAACTCGTAGGTACAATATCTACCTCTTACACATCATGATCGAACAGTTCTCGTCAGATTCTCTGCGAGCCGCCTTTAGCGAGGTTGATGTGCAGAGGCATGGCTGCTGCTGCTGCTGCAATCATCGTCATCTACGGAGCAAAAATGTGGCTGGGCCTGTCAAAAACAAGCCGCTTTGATTGTTCAAAAAGCCCTACGTACCTAGTTTGGCGTGCATGGATTGGCTTTTTTTTTTTTTACTATGTACATTGCATGGGGGGGGGGACGTTACCTTGCGTCGTGCTTTGATGCTAGGTACGCAGTCCCGGATCGACGAGGGATGGCGCTGCTCGCCTACGATGGATAAAAGACCGAGAACCATAGACTAAACCCCCGCGTTGAACGATGGACCCAGTGTAGGAAGAGTAATGTAATGTAGTCTAAAGGACTGTCATCACAAACTACCTGGGTGGGTAGGTAGGTAGGTATGTAGATAGGTTCCAAGCTGGTATACCTTGCTGGCGTTCTACATACATGTATTACACACTAGATATGTAGACACTGGGTCGTCGTGCTTCTACTTTTGCTTTTTTCTATGAGCGGGAGAAGCCGCTGATGCATCAGGCATGAAGACAACGAATAGTATATTGGACCGAGGCAGATATCTTGGCGAGCATCCTCTTTTGCGGTTACGAGAGAGCCTGATAGGCAATAAGTCGTTTAAAAACACCATGAATCAAATGCCCTTGATACTTCAACCACTACTTATTGGACATCGCACTGCAGATATGGGAAGAAAATAAGTGCTAAAGAAAAAAAGCAAAGCCATATTGTATTTAGAATGGCCGAAAAAAAAAACAGACCTCGTGACGCTTGACCCCCCCTAGCTGCTCCAGCTGCTGCTCCACGAGCGGATAGCAAAGAAGAGTTAAAGACGGTAAGCCAATCAATTTAGTGATACCTTTGAATTAGCAGTGTCGACAAGCACCAGTCAGCGTCCACATCCATTCCAAAACGGGGTCTCCCTTCAAATGGGACGCAACAAGGGTTTACACGGAAACCTACGATACGTATTCCGGCCTGTCATCAAGAGAGGGGGCCAGGCGGGCGGGCTTTTTTTTTTTCTCTCTTTCTGATCTCGCATGGTGTCGGTGGATGCTTGCTTGCTCTACGGGGAGTATTCAAGGGCCATTTATTCGACAACAACAGAGACGAATGTGATCATGTGGTGGTTTTTTATTCCCTTTCTCCTTAAAGGGTCCAGGGGGAGGAGGAGAGGAGAGGGGTTTGGTTTAGGGCGCTTTATCACCAAACACGAAATAACCCGAGACAGGAGTTGCGGCGCATCGAGATACACATACACGTAGCCTTTCTCTTATCCTCATTCCTGCTGGTTTTGATGCAATCTGAGCGATTTGACGAGGCACAGAAAATAATAAATCTCCACTACTAGAACCGTGTCTGTGCCGAAGATGCCGGTGGTTCTTGTCCGGGACTCCGTGGCTTGCAGCTTGCTTCTGTCTCCTCTTGCTCCTTACCCTGGAGCGCAGGGGGTTTGCCGTTGATTGATTGGACGTGGGCCGGTCGATCTGGTAGCAATCCGATTTCGAGAGCTGAAAAATTCCATTATTGCAGCAGGCCGCTCATACGACCTAATCGTGTAGGCAACATGCTGCCAAGTATGCACAATACTAGCGAAGAAGTATGTATAGCGAGAGGGAGTAAGAAAGGGATGGGAGTGAAAAACACGCAATTGTCTAGGTTAGATATTAGATTTCGGGCAAAAGATTCCTCACGGAGGTCCGATAAGTATGTCGCAATATTCGGGTTTCCGTTTCAATCATGTAGTGCCCAATAGGAGAAGGAATCAAATATAGAGATACTATGTAAAATGTAAAAATGACTACCAGCCTGCTTAGGTTGCCTCATCTACCTCAATACCTACTATTACTACTTACTTTGCCTGCTTACCTTAATATACTTGATATATTAGAGGTAAGATAAAAATCAGCTTCTTGCTTTTTTTTTTATCATCTTCTTTAACTACATCACAGTAGCCGTTAGTCGCCGACTCTAGATGGGGCGATAATACGAGCCAGTGCTGCCATGGGTAGTATTCTTGATGATAGTTGAATCTTAGGTTGACCTAGCCTCGAAGGAACGCTGCAAGATTATGTGCGTCTCTTACTTTTACCTACTTTATATATGTGGCATATGAGCAAATACGATGCGAAAATACGGTGTTGCGCAAATCAATGGACCAATGTCGAAGCGACAAGATTGCGATTGGCTGGTGTCTTTGGAACCCCCCCTGACGCTAATTGCAGCATGATGATGTGGAGTTGAGCGCGCATCCAACAGGGTCCCTGGAGCAGGGCTGCAGGAGGATGTACATGAACCCAAGTGCCCCCCTGTTGATCACCTCAAACTCCCCCCATTTTGGGCCGACGACTATACCTCATTCGGACAGGCACTTGGGCTTAACTGCTTTTTTAGGCACTTGGGTTCAACTTTTTGTCACTTAAGGTTTATTTTTACAAAAACAAAAAATTCATAATTAATTATTAATTAATTATAAACATAACTTTAAAAGATAATTATAATAATTATTAAGTTTAATATTTTATATATTTTAATTTTAATTTAATTAATTTATAATCAATTTATAATTAATTTGTAATTAATTATAAATTGATTTTTAATTGATTCTTATTTAATCATTAATTAATTAAAAATAAATTGCTATCGGAGGCTTATCCGCACCCTAGTACATAGCGCTGGTCCGGGCTCTCCAGCTAGCCTCTAACATACTATCCTTAATAACTTTTCCTTCAATAGACGCATCTTGATGCAACCGGTATCATTAGAACCGCCTCAATTAGCGCTTCCAAATGATATATGGTTCAAAGAAATGCGACCAGTGGTTGCGAAGTTATTCGGGGTTGAATGAAGTAAGCACTTTTAACGCTAGCCGAGGGCCATCACGTGATCAAGGTACCGATTACAGATGTATCTTTTTTCAGGTGCTTCTTAATCTTTAAATTCAAATAACTTCAGATTCAGATATCGCATTAATCTGAAACATATATTGTTTGGAAGCTCTAATTGAGGCGATTCCAATGATATAGGATGCACTAAAGCGGCAGCTTGGGCTGATTGAAGGTTTGAAGCTTGGGCTTTTTGCAGCCCGTTTTCTTTGTACCTGGGTGCAAAGGCAAAACTCAAAAAAATAAGACTCGAAAGTTCAAATAATCAGGTGGGCCCCTGTAAAGCATGTGGCCAATTACAGCTAGCTAAATTCCGGATTTTCGTGTGACCGAGCCCCATTCTGGGTGGGCTTTATAGCGGGACACTAGGCCTAAAATGGGGGGAGTTTGAGGTGATCTACAGGGGGGCACTTGGGTTCATCTACCTCCTGGGGCTGCAGAAGAAGAGAGATCTGCCTTCGAGAAGACGGGTTCGGCGTTTCGTGATACATTACTAGGTACAGTATTATGTAGATATGTATGTGTGTATGTGTGTATGTACATACATATATGTATGAGGTGAGGTAGCAGTAAGTATGTACCTAATACCTAATACACAATACTTGACATACATACATCAATGTAGTACTCGCAGCTTTTCAACATTCAATGTTGAATGGATGGAATTTGCACATGTGCTGTTGTACACCCGAACCTGACCTAGAGATCTTCGCCCGTCGCCCTTTTCTAGCGTACATAGATAGAGGCAACCCCAAGCCATGAAACTGCTTTAGCACGCTAGGTCAACTGGATCTGG